CATTAATTTGTCTTCCAAGGTACTTCTTAGGAGCTGTCAAATTTATTTCATAAAAGATTTTTGTAATATGCTTTCTATATCCTTTTAAATTCTGTAAAATCTGTGGTAATGTCTCCTAGATGTTGATATTGTAATTTTTAAAATGTATAACTGAGATTGTATAATAGGAAGAAAACGTCTAAAGGAGTGGGAGAAGGAGGAGGGGTAGGGGAAAGGAAAGAAGGGAAAAGAAAAAATATGAGAAAAGAAAAAAAATGCAAAAAAATGGAAACAAAGTTTTTGCAAATAGGGAAGGGTGAAGGGGGTGAAGGGGAAAAAATAAGAACCAAGATACATCATGTAAAGTTACAAGATCCCAATGATGAATGTAACTATATTTTATACCTAAAATATACCAATAAACTTAATGGAAAAAAAAGATTAAGATATTTGCCAATATATTAGTAAGGATTTTTGCATCTATGTTCATTAGTGAGATTGGCCTATAGTTCTCTGTTTTCGTTTAGTCTTTCTCTGTTTTGTGGGTCAAGGTGATGCATGCTTCCAGGAATGAATTTGGGAGTATTATTTCCCTTTCAATTTCATTAAAATTGTAGTGGCAGTAGTTCCTCTCTAAATGTCTTATAGAATTCAGCAGTGGAGCTATCAGGACCCGGGTTTTTCTTAGTTGGTAAGTTTTTAATTATGTTTTCAATTTCATTGATTGATATTGGGTTGTTTATAATTTTTAGATCTTCTTTCAACTTTGGTAATTCATACTTATCTAGGAATCTGTCCATTTCTTCTGTTTTCCATCTTATTGGTATATAGGTTCACGAAGTAGATATTGATGATCCTCTGCATTTCTGCTAGGTCCAATGTAATTTCATCCTTTTCATTTCTATTGACATAGTTTTGGGCCTTTTCTTTCCTTCTTCTGATAAGCTTTGCTAAGGGTTTGTCAATTTTTTTCTTTTGAAGAACTAACTCTTGGCTTCATTAATTTTTTTTGAATTGTTTGCTTAGTCTCCATTACAGTGATTTCTGGTCTGATCTTTATAATTTCCTCTCTTGTATGACCTTTGGGTTTGTCATTCTCTTCTTTTTCTAGAAGCTTGAGGTTCAGCATCAGGTTGTTTAATTGGGCTCACTCTGTTTTCCTAATATGATTATTTACTGCTATGAATTTCCCTCATAAGACTGCTTTCATTGTGTCCAATAGATTCCGCTAGAAGCTTGAGATACAGCCTCAGGTTGTTTAATTGGGCTCATTCTGTTTTCGTAATTTGCATATTCACTGCTATGAATTTCCCTCTTAAGACTGCTTTCATTGTGTCCCATAGATTCCAATATGTTGTATTGTCATTGTCATTTAATTATAGGAACTGTCTGATTTCTTCTTTAATTTCCTCTGTGACCCATTGGTTATTCAGAAGTGTGTTGTTCAATTTCCATGTGTTTATGAAATTCTTTGGTTTCTTTTGCTATTGATCTCCAATTTCATCACACTGTGGTCTGATAATATACAAAGGATAACTTCAATTCCTTTTCATTTACTTAAACATATTCTATGCGCGAGTATGTGGTCTATTTTGGAGTAAAACCCCTGTGCAGCTGAAAAGAATGTTTATTCTGATTTTGTGGGTGGAACTCTCTGTAAACATCTGTCAACTTCATTTGTTCAAGAGTTCGACTGAGTTCTTATTTTTTGTCTAGTTGATCCAGCTATTTGTGACAGTGGGGTCTTGAGGACCTCCACTACAATTGTATTAGTGCATATATGACTTTTCATGTCCATTAGTATTTGTTTTATATAGTTGGGTGCACTAGTGTTTGGAAGAAATTGTCATCTCTTCCTCTTGGATTGTACCCTTTACAAGGATGTTGTGTCCTTCTTTGTCTCTCTTAATCAGTGTTGGTTTGAAATCCACTTGATCTGCAAAGAGGATAGCTACTCCTGCTTTTTTTCGAGTTCCTGTTGCATGGAGTATTGTTTTCCACCCTTTAACTTTGAGTCTACGAGTTTCTTTTTGAATTAAGTGTGTTTCCTTCTATGCAGCATATTGTTAGATTTTGCTTCTTGATCCATTCTGCCAGTCTATTTCTTTTGATTGGTGAATTGAGACCGTTAACACTGATCATTATAATTGATATGTATTGACTTATCATTGTCATGACTTTTTCTTTTCGTTGGATTCTCCCCCTTTGCGTTTAATTTCTTGTTGTGACCAGTGGATTCATTCTGCTGGGATTCCTGGGGTTGTGATCCTCATTGTCTTTTCCTAGGATATTGTCTAAAATTTTTTGGAGTACTTGTTTAGTATTCGTGAAGTTCCTAATGTGCTCTTTGTCATGAAAGTATCTTATTTCACCATCAGTTTTGAAAGATAGTTTTGCAGGGTACATCTATCTGGGTTGGAGGCTGTTTTCCTTCAGGGCTTGAAATACATCACTCCAAGCTCTTCTTGCTTGAGGGTTTGTGTTGAGATGTCTGCTGTGATTCTGTTGGTCTTTCTTTTGTATGTGATTTGTTTCTTTTCTCTAACTGCTTGTAGAATTTTGTTCTACTGTTGGGTTTCTGGAATCTTAATTATTATATGCCTATGTGTAGATTTTTTTTTATCAAGGCTAGTTGGAGTCCTATATGCTTCACTTATCTGTATGTCAAGTTCTTTTCCCCTCCTTGGGAAGTTTCCTGCCTTCACTTCTGTGAACAGTTTTTTTTATGCCATCTGCACTCTCTCCTGTTTCCTCATTGACTCTAATCAGTGTTATGTTATTCTTCTTTGCATCATTTAGCAGCTGCTAGACTGATTTCTTGTGGTCCATTACTATTTTAAAGAAATTTTTCTTTTCCTGGTCACTAATTGCAATCTTATCTTCTATATCTGAAATTCTGTCCTCACCTTGGCTCATTCTGCTTCATAAACTTTCAATGGAGTTTTTAATCTCCTGGAAATGTTTGCATTTGTTTTATGGATTCCATTTGTTTCCTACGTTGGGATTCCATCATGTTTCTCAGATCCTCTCTTTTTTTATCTGTGTCCTCTCTAGATTTATTAATTGTGTCTTGCACTATTAGCACAATCTCTGCTGTTATCTGAGAAATTATTTCTGATTTCATTTTTTCCAGATCCTCTTTCATTGCCAGTTCAGGGAGTCCAGGTGGTTGAATACCAGATTGTTCCAACTCGTTTCCCTTTGGGGTTGCTTTAGGTGATCTGGAAGTCTTGTTTTGAGACTTGTTTACATGTTTTCTCATTTCATCGTTTGGGGGTCAATGTGTGCTACTGGCACTGGTGCAGCGCACCTCCTCAGTGCTGGTGGTGTTGGTAGGGCAGCCCAGAAGGTTCACCTCCTGTGCACTGGGGGCAGCTGTGCTCCTTGGTACTGGGGGCAGTGGTACAGCGGCCTGGAAGGTCCATATCTGATTACTATTACCTGTTAAAAATGATGTTCCTGAGTTCTGACTGTATGAATTAGGCTGGGAGGAACCTGGTTCTCCTTAGCATTCTGTGCAATTGCTCAACTCCAGTGCTGAATATAAAAAGCTTCTATACCCTGAACTTATGGGCATTAGTAAAGACCAGAGCAATTAAGACAAAGAAAGAAAACAACACAGTGGATTAAGTTTTAGAAGGAAAAAGAAAACCTTTTTTTTTTTAGAATTGAATAAAGTTTCACTGTAGTAGATGCTTTAAAACCCTAACTTTGTCTTATTCATTTTTCCAACTGGAATTTCTGTCATTCCTTATGAAATAAAAAGCATATGAGAAAAATTAGATGGTTTAAACCATGTGAATTATTACTTTTGGAGTAAACCAAGTAGCCAAAGCCTTCTTCTTCTGGAATATTCACTCAAATTCTTTGTTTTATACAGGTTTGAAAAAATTGTAGAAAATGTCTATGCATTTATTATTCACATATTGTATGAAAAACTTTGTATTAAATATGGTTTATGTATTAAATCTTCAAAAATTCTTCTTGAATTGTTCAATTTTGAGTCAAAATATGTATATTGTAATCCTTTTTATGCCTTTCTTGTAATATCTTATAGATTGTGAAGGAGAATTTTGAATTATGCTCTGAACACAGATTTCCTTGTCTCCTTGATCTTCTGCTTCCTATGGTACCCTTTCTGATTCAGATGCATTGCAGAATTTTGGAGTGTGGATTCACTAATACTTACTCATGCACTGGGCAAGACTTATAATGAAAAATTTCATTGCTGCTTAATGTCCCATCTGTTTCTGTACTATCACTCTTGACTACATTGAGCCAAAAACTGACCTTTTCAGTTTTATGCTGGCCAGCACCTTGTCTGGTAATCAGGATTATAGCATGTATTAATTAATTTTGAATAAACCCTGCATCTTTCTAAGAAATGTCATCCTCTTTAAAAAATAGAGTTAATCCAAGCTCCCTGGAGGCTGGGAGAATAAGAGAATAAACATAATTCAGTTAAATCACAAAATGAGAGCATCATCTGAGAAGCATCACTGAGCCCACCTTGGCTGGTGAGTGAGTTTGGGGCTCTGTGCTGCAGAGACCCCAGCGTTCCTTCTTCCTCTCCTATGCTCAGCATAAACTTGTCTCTCAGTGACAAAGATGAGCATGCATGGATTTAAAGGCTAAAATAGAAAAATAGATCTCTTGTTTTGCCCAAACAGTGACTTTTTATGCTTCAACATTTAATTCAATAAGATGCTTAGGCTTTAACACCTAGCATGAATTTCTTTCTTGTTTTGTTTTGTTTTAGGTTCATTATGTCTCTGTAAGGAAAATTGTAGCTTATAGTTCACTTTGCTGGTTTAGGAGTTAGTATGCACAGCACAAAGCATGCCTCAAAACCATCAGTAAATTAACAGCGAAAAGCTAAAGAGCAGCGAGTATATGTGTATCACAAAAGAAGTTCTGGAAAATAAGCTTAATGGCAACAAGATGGATATTTCTAGATGAAACATGTTTCGGGTCTTTCTTTTTATTTTTTAATGAAAAACATAATTTGATTTGTTCTTTTTGGCATGTATATATTAGACAACATACAAATATGTTGCATAAGTATTTTAGAATATAGTGAATAAAACTATTTGAGCTAGAGCTCTCTCGGCTTATTCTCTTTTGTTGAGTCAGTTGCCTCAGGACACTTAGCTCATGTGACTCAGCCCCCCTCTCTCCCACTCTTCGGGCATCTCAATCAGTCCCAGCTGTGTAACGGTGTCATTTCAGGCTGGGAAGGACGTCAGTCCTAAATTCCTTGGTCTCTATGGAGAAATCAAATGCACAGTTAAGAGTAGTAATGGTCACTTTTGGTTAAAAATTCACTGATCACTCAATTTTTTCACATATTATTCCTTATGCTAACCCAAAAAGACACTCTCTGCACTATTCAGAGGACGACATTGAAATATGTAAGTGTTACTTGTCTCAGAAAACAACGGATGGGCCGGGGATTTAGCTCAGTGGTTCCCTTGCCTGCCTAGCAAGCACAAGGACCAGAGTTTGATCCCAGGTACCAAAAAAAAAAAACAAAAAAGAAAACAATGGGTGGCAAGTTTCAAGGCCAGGCCTGCTTACCTCCAGTCCTCCTTCCAGGCACCTGAGCCCCTGCTGTGGCTCACTGCTCACCTTGAGATGCAATTCTAGTTACTGCTCTCCAACTCCTGTGCTTTCCCTGACACCACTAGCAAAGACAGCCACAAAATCCTTTGGAAATACACAGACTCATTTTTATTGCACATTTTAAAATAATGTCTATGCCCTCTCTCATTACAGAAAGCTTTGTTTAACTTCACTTAATGGAAATTACTGCCTCTATCTTATACCACATTACTAAATGGAATTAAATCTAGAATAGGCAAACAAGTCACACAAGTTTAGAATAAGAGGACAAAACCATCCACCTAAAGATGGGAAGATTAAAGCAAAAGCCTTATGGGAGAAGAAATGTAAATGAAAACTAAATGTATGAAGTAGTATTCAGCATTGATAGTTACCAGGGAAAATGTAAATATCAAAAAGCACAATGAGATAGCACTTCAAACCAGTCACAATGGCCAATAAAAAGAAGAAATAACTGACAGTGCTCAGTGTTGGGGAGGTTATCATAAACAACTGGAATCCTCTTTCATTTCTGGTAAGAATGTAAACTAGTACAATCACTCTGGAAATTAGCTTGGCAGTTTTGTATAAGGTTAAAAATATAGACGGTCTCTGACTTATAGTGTGAATGTGATACATTCATTAGAGAACATACTTTGTGTTTTAATTTGGGTCTTTTACTGGGCTAGGGATGTGCAGTTCAGTTCTCAAGATTCTGGTGGTCAGGAGCGAGCCACAGCGCTGGTCAGCCACATGACTTTTAGGTGACAGAGGATTCTACAGTTCACTGTGTTTCAAGAGGGCTTTGCATACAAGTATTCAATAAACTACACAAGATATTTCACCCTTTATTAGAAAATAGGCTTTGTGTTAGATGATTTTCACAAAACTGTAAGCTAATGTGAGTGTTCTGGGGATGTTTAAGGCAGGCTAGAATAAGATGTGGTGTTTGATAGGTTAGATAGATTAAATGCTTTCAGCTTATGGTATTCTAAATTTGACATGGGTTTATTGGGGCATAATCCTGATATAAGCCTAGAATTATCTGGGCACCTAAATGTGACCTAGCAACTACTTCCTAGATTCTTATTTAGTAGAAATAAAAACAGGGTCCATATGAAGATGTGTCTACAAATCCACAAGCCAGCTTTATGCATGTGAGCAAAAGAGCAGCAAACAGAGGTTGGCAGACAGTCAGGTGAATGAGCATGTACAGGATATCTATTCAATGCAATACTACTTCAAAAATATCAAAGGCCTATGATACAGAGAACAACCTATGTACATTTCCAAATCACAGCAGTGAGGTGTGGGGGCCCATGCATGTATGTAATCACCCACATGATGTTCCAGAAGGTTATTTCTTGCCTATGATGATAGAATCTTTGTCCGCGGTTTCCTTGCGCCAGAGCCTTTGCACTGAGCTATATCGCAGCACTTTTTATTTTTCATTTTGAGACAGAGTCTTACTAATGCACTAAGTGGCCAAGGCAGTGTTCAAATATGAGATCCTCCTGTCTCAGCAGCCAAGAGTACTAGGATTATAGGTTTGTGCTATCACACCCAGCTTGAAATGTTTATTTTTGACTAAGACAATGGACATTTGGGTGTTTGTACATTTTTTCTCCAGCACACCCACCACTTGGTGCCAGAATCTTTATCTTCTTTTGGAGCACAGTGTGCTGATGTTAGGAAATGTTTAAAAAGATTGGATAATCAGAAAAAACTGTTCAAAGGCTCTTTATAATATTCAAATTGGAGGTGATAATTATTGAAATAAATTGTTTTAGAAATTATTACTGATGTGGTTGAAGCTTTAGCTAAATTAAAGAGAATTTTTCAGAACCCACAAAACTAGCATTATTTCATAGGTCTCTATGGACATTTTCTCTGACATGGTGATTCCTTTAGGATTTTATTTGCCAAATATTTTAAAGTTTATTAAACTCAATGACAAACATTATGTCTTTATAGAGTTATCCTGTTTCCAAATTTCAAGTGACTGCTTCTTTCTTTTTCTAGACATTAATCTCTCATAGTTTAATTAACATTTTTTTTACTTAAATAGTATTTTATGACATTTACTGTGAAATTAATGAAATAATACCAGCATAAATTAATTTTAAACATTTTAAAGTGGATACCTGAATCTTACTTTGCATATTATTTTCTATTTTTATAAGTTAAACATTGAATTAGAAATGAGGATAGAATTTTGACAGCAAGTCTCATTCAAAAATTTCTGATCTTTCTGCTTTACAATTATGTTCTTCTCAGGTAACTAGACCAAATTGATTGAATTTACACAGAAAAAATGACAACCTACTTTCTTTTCTCTTTCTCCAGTAATCTAATAGATGATAAAAAACATCCTTTATTTCATGGAAGTAATAAGTATTTATTTAATCTCTGAAAAATTAACTCTATATATTATATATAGATAATAAGTGCAGGTTTGTCAGAAAGTCACTTGGAACTTATATGTGTCTGTAATAGCTTATGTATAAGAGATATATATTAGATTTCAAACATAGACAATTTAATGTAAAATTGGCAGATTTCTAGAGAACTAATATTGACACTTTCATTTCAGATCCCTATGTACTTAAAGCATTAAAAACACAATGTCCCCTTATGGTTTTTGCATTTAATGCATCAAAATAACTTAATCTCTTTTAGAGGAGATGTAATTATGAACATGTGTTCTTGTATATACCATGGTATAACACACATTCTGTTCTCATTTGCTTTTTACTTTTTCAGATTTCTGTTTCTGTCTGATCTAAAATTACCTGTTGTGGGAGAGGCTGCCCCTAAGCACTTCACCACTAGTCTTTTGGTTCCCTACTTTCCAATTTCTGTGATGCAAGAGATTCTGGAACATAGCCAGGGGCTGAGGCTACACTGAAGGCCTATATGGGGAACTCAGATCTCTGAGGGACCTGGGGCTCAGGTGTAAGCTCGTCAGTCTACCTTGGGGATAGAAGCAGTGTTCACTAGTGGCAGTGGTTTCCTTCTTGTAAAAGATGGCCCTTAAGAAAGAGGCCAGTAATTCAAATGCCCTGGGTTCTTTCCAGTCATTTCACAACCCCAGCTCCAGGACAAGTTTTCTGAAAATAGAATTTAATTTTGACAAACTTAACCCATTCAAATATCAATCATATATTGTTTTGGATTATTTTACAGAAAAAACAATATGTAGTTTTGTATTTATTTTTATTTACTTTCTTTGATCATAAATTATCAATTGATTCTAAATTTCTCTTCTTCCATCCTTAATGAAATACTTAGTGAACAAGTAAAGGCTATAGCAATATAATGAGTGGTTTACTATCTTCTAGATACTTCTTTAAAAATGGAGTTTCTTGTTTGCTTTAAAAGTCTGAATTTTAATGAGTTTTGAAAAGTTTTTTAAAAGAATATAGCATTGATTCTAAAAGTTTTCTCTTAGATATCAGAATTTAAATTTTAATTGAATATGTATCCATACTTAAAAGCTCACAGCTATTTTTTTTCCTATAATTAATTTAGAGTCTCCCTTCCACTTTCATTGTCATTTCTGACTTCCTTCTTTTTAGCATAATAGAATATCAAAAACATAAATTAACAAGGCACAAATATTAGACTATGTAAACTAATAAGTGTGTGACAAAACAGAACTTAAGAAAATGTATCGTTAGAGAAATAGTCACTACAGAATGAGAAACTTGTAGGTCATCAGAAAGTTAATATTTTGAAAATAGTGTTCACTGAGTAAAACAGTCTCAAATTTTGTAAAATAAAAATGCAACAGTTAGAGGCTTACATTGAAACCTTCCCAAACAAAGTGGAATATACTACACAACTCTTGTTTAATCACTTTGATAAATGAACAGAAAGGCTAGTAAGCACATAGGCAGGCCAAGTGGTACAAGGACTGTCATTACCTACTGAGCACCCCGCAGAGATAGGAGCTTTCCAAGCTCACAGAAAACTTTAAAAAGGGATGCACACTGCTTACAAATCAAGTTTTTAAAGAGTAAAGGAATTGATATCAGAAAAAATACTCTCTCACCAAGTAGAACTGTTTGAATCCTTCAGTCTCAGAGGATAGAAAATTAAGAAGCATATTTTAAAATAAATCATAGATTAAAGAAATAGTAAGAGAAAAACATTTAAACAACATTTAACCTTGAAAAGCTAACATTAATACATGACATATATATTTAGTTATATTCAGCTAAAATAACATTTCAAAGGAAATGTATAGGCTTAAAGGCTTACATAAGAAATACAAAAGGCTAAATATTAATGAGCACCTAGAATAATCCTGAAGAACAAAAAGAGAAAACCAATATAACAACAATCACAGGGTGATAAAATAATTTTACAGTAAAGAGGATAAAAAGGAAAATGTAATTATTTGAAAAAACTAATAAAATTGCTTATAAACACAGAGCAAAGTGAAATAAGAAGAGAAAGAAATGGTGCATTTAAACTATGAGAATATTGAAAAGAAACTCTAATGCCCAATATCTTAATAAGAACAAAAATGTCATTACACTAAATTCAAAAACAGATTAAACTGACAAATACATATAAAAACTAAAAGCAACAAATAGTTCTATAGAAAGAATTGAATCAGTAATTTAAGATTCTTTTTGAGAACAACAATCCAAATCAATGTACTATTAGATTACAGTAAACATTCAAACAAGAAATAATTGATCTGAAAGCAGTAACAATAAGGAGGAAAGATAAGCTTCTTGTCTTAACTGACAAGGTTAGCAAACACCGGTTTGGAAAGGCAACAAATATATCTTGAGAAATGAAAGTGAAAGCCCACCTTGCTTATGCATACAGTTGTCAAAGCCTGCATTTAACACACTAGTATAAGAAATGTTAAATTAAATATTACATACACATACAATTTATCTCAGGAATACAAGACTACACAAAATGAATTAATACAATTAGCTATAGAAATGGGTTACAGGACAAAATGCATATGGTCAAATTTATAATGTTGACAAACTTAATTTGTTTGATCTATACTCAATATTAAAATATTGTTAATAAGTAAAATATAGATATAACTATTACCATGCATTATTTCTTTCTCAGAACCATGCTAGTTTAAGATGTAACTGAAATCTTACTACATTAAACCTGATAGGACTGAACATTAATAAGCATATTTGTGGAATAGTATGTATTTACGTTGAATTTGAACAAAGGACCCCCTTTACTCTCAGAAGTGTCCAGATTAAGACAACAAATTGTACACAATGTCAAGAACAATGGGAATTTCCTAAATTTGATACAGCATATCTCAAAATTCTATAGCAATCTATATTATACTGTATTGTATATTTCATAGTATATAATAAAATTCCCCAAATGCTTACTTTGTGATAAGTGTAGCTATTCTCATGTTTCCATCTAGTACTGCCTTGGAGATTGTAAGCAGTGAAATGAAGTTTTAATTTTTTATCTTAAGTGTATAAACAAGGATTAAAAAAATAAAGCTTTAAAAGATTATATGATTACCTTCATATAAAACTCAAAATGATTTTCAACCTTACAGTTAATAAAGCAGCATGTTTGCTAGACAGAAAAATCAGCAGAGAGCATTAAGTTCAGTGTTGCACACCATGAGTTCAGGAAAGGTCACAACTTGTCATTATTTTAAAGATAAAATCAAAGCAATACCCAGGAATAAATACATGAAAGACAAAGAAACACATTATGGAGAAAACTACTACAGTGTAGCATTGGTAAAAGGAAAGAAAACAACCCCTGCAAGAAAATAAAATATTCAGAGATCAACTCAGAGACTATGGAAGTATAATTTAAGACAGAATTAACTCTGCAGATCAGTGGGGAAGGATGAACTATTGTCGAGAGAACTGGCTATCCTTAGGGAAAAATAAAGGGAAATCCAATCCATCCCATGCACTTTACACAGTAATTAAGACCATAAAATAAAAGGCAAAACATGCTATTAGAAGATAATTTGGAATTTATATTTATCGACTAAGGGAAGAAAATGGTTTATTAAATAAGACATAAAAACCATTGAGAAGGGATTGATATGCTCAAATACAATGAAATTAATAACTTTTGTTTACTAAAAGACACCATAGAGTACAACAACCCAGATACAAGATGCCATAAAGAATCTGCCACACATGTCATGGACATAGATTGGAATCCATAATAATAAATTATTTCTACAAAAAGCAGAAGACAAACTAATATAAAATGTGCCTAAAATTTTCATATGAATGTAAAGAAGATGAAAATAGATGATTTGATAAACAAATGCGACCATTTGGAATCTAAAATCATGGAAATGAGTATTAAACCCACAATGAAGTACTGTTTCATATCTGCCAGATTTCCAAGCTGACAATGTCTGAGGGTACTGGGAATCAAAAAGGATGTGAAGCAAAGAAAACAGCTATTCCCATGAGTGGGAAAGTAAGTTACTGAAGCTTCAACTGCACTGAAACATGATGTCCCGTTGCAGGTCTACACAAACTTTGGCTCAGCCATTGCACTCCAAGGGGAGGAATCCAAAAGCACCTCTGGATGTATGTGTGCATGTCAGGTACAGTCCTGAAGAACTCAAGTTGTGAAAAGAGACACCTGGAAATAACAAAGAGATGCAACAGGACGAGAACAGGTAAGTGAATTACCAGATGCTACAGCAATATGCTACTCTCACCCAGCAAAAAGCAATGAGTGATAGCTACACAGAGCAACATGGATGAGTCTCCTCAATACAAGGTTCAGTCAAGAATGATTAAAATTATACAGTTTGATTCCATTACTACTTATTTATTGTCCTTACTTGCACTCCTCAGTGAGATGAGAGGTAACTCTCTCAGTGATCTTCTGGATTCCTCTGTCCCAGAATGACCTGAGACGACACCATTACTGCCTTCTCTTAAGCCTTCATTAGAGTTGAGAGCTATGGGTTTGGACTTTTCTCTCTCTGTTACTAGGGCATATCCCTTCTTCAGATATATCCTGACACATTCATGGGACCTAGCACAGATAAAAACAATAACTCTTTAGACACTGACAAATCTTTGCTAGGACAAACATCTAAGTTAAGAACCTTCCCTAAGTGTTTTTAATTCCAATTAGTGTAGGGGACAGGAGAAGGGGACGTTACCAGAACCTCTGCAGTTAGTCCTGGTCTCCTGCGAGCCACGGCAGCACACGGCGAATTACAGGAAAGGTAGAAAAATGAGACTGAGAAGAAGCTGAGCTTTGGGTCTGATCAGTGCTGCTCTGGGTAGCAAAGACAGAGCCCCCAGTTTACCACGCCTTTTATTCAGTACATCGGGAGAAACAAATGTAACAAATGACTTGCAGAGCGTTCAATAGCTCACATTGGGATAAACAAGGTGTAACGGAAGGCTTGCAGAGAGTTCAGTACATCTCCGGCAAACAAGATGTTAATCAGTCCAAGAACAATGAGGAACTGAGCAGATGTTTGTTCTCCCAGGATGTTTCTTGTCCTGGAGAATCACAGCATCACTGGATCACTGAAGTCTCAGTTGTGACCGGAGGCCAAACTGGAGTTATTCTGTAGCTGGGCTATAGGCAAGAGAACTAGGCTAACCAAATGATTTATCCCTAGAATTATGTAGCATTGCTCCCAACAAATTAGCTGGGAATTAATTTTAGAACTTCTTGGCTAGCTAGACCACCTCTCTCTTGAGGAGATCAGGCTAATGCAGTTTGCCACAACTATTTGCCTTTCATAGAGGAGAACAGGCATCAGAAGAGCAATTTACATTTGCGCCTTACATATGATAACTAGGAGTAGAAAAAAAAGGGGTTTTAGTCAGCCTTTCTCTTCTTTCATGTGCATATAAAAAAATCTGATAAATGTACCTTTACTAACATGTAAGTTGTGGTTGCTGGGCAATGAGTATGTTTTAATGTGTGAGCTTCATAAGTGTGTTGCAGATATAGAGACATAAAAATTCTAGAGTGGATTTTGAATAAAACTTAGCATCTTGCTGCTAAGAAAGATTGCCTGGTGATTAGGTAAATAATACAAATGTCTTAGAGACTTCTTTGCCCTAGGGCACAGGGATCTTTCTGGGCCATTACTTGACTCTATCTCTAGAGGTGATCTCTTTTGCAGACTAAGAAGTGCTACAACCACTTCCAATTTGCCCTTTGATCTTTTCTTCGCCTCACTCTCTTTCAAAGAATTGGAAAACAGTTGTTCAGGACTCAGGATTACTGGTTTAATTTTGTTAGCAATGCTTCCTTCTTAAAAACATGACTGTTATAGCTCAAATTAATTGTAGCTTGTGCTTTTGGAAACACATGCTGGAGTTAGGAGTGTGAGTTTCTGGGGAATGCAGAAGCATGAGTAGGTAAGTGTGGCTAGTCTGACCCAACTTATCTTCATCTGGTCACTCTCTAGATGGCAGCTACCTGCTGTGGAGCAGGTCACCTTGGGGAATTCCTTGAGATAATATAAAAATCTATCAGGGATTAAAAAGGACACCTATTTTTCCTCTTGTATTGCAGATGGGAAACTCAATGTCAAAATCTCTTACTCCTCTGGAATGTATTCTTAAATACTGGAAATTGTTTGAACCTCACGTATTGGGAGAGATTTAATATTTTTCTGCACCTTCACATGTACCGCCTACCCCCTAGAGATAAAACAGAATGCAGAGGGAAATATTGATTATGATACTATTTCATAACTAAAATTATACTGTGAGAGAGAGAAAATGTTCAGAATTATTTTATGTTCAGACTTTCTTTCCATTAAGAGATAATCCTCACTTGTGTACAAAATGTGAATATAAGCCACTGGAAAGCCAGACACCTCTGGCCCTTAAGGCATAGTCAGATGTATTTACTATCACTGAGTGAGAGGCTCCCTTTTCTTGCCTTTCAGACCTCAAGGACAAGGTTTCCAAGGAAACCTTCATCCACTATTACTGAGCCTGAGGTCCCTCCCCCTTATCCTCAGGATGAGACTTTCAGACCAACCATAATTGAAGCCTCTACTGGGCTGTATACATCCCTTTCTGATTCTGTGCAAGTTCCTCATAGACAGTATCCCTTACAGGAAGTAAAGAGAGAATTTGGCAATACCTTTGTCCACGTGTTCTTTTTTCTCAGTGGCCTCAAACAGATCAAACAAGATCTTGGAAAGTTTTCAGACAGTGCTGCAAAGTACATTGAGGTCTTTAGGGGACTTACTCAGACCTATGAACTAGACTAGAAAGATGTAATGTTACTCTGTAAGACCGAGGGCCTTAGCAATCGCTCCAAGTAGCTGACTGCAGTGAGGAACACCTGGGAGGAAACACACTGGGTAGATTGAGATAGTAAAAAACAGACCTTTATTAGTCTGGCCAGATGGCACCCTCCAAGCAACAAGCTTAGAGAAGCCTCAAGCTCAGGGGGTTGGAAGGTTTTATAGGGGCTGTAGGGGTGCTTAGCAAGCAGAACTACAGAAGTGGAATTTTTGTGGTTAGGGGATGGTTAGGGGAGTTTGCAGATGTTCTTTACTTATCTAACAGGATGTTCTTTACACAGAAACAATGGTACATTCCATGGTGTCTTAACAGATAAACAAGTACATTCCGGGAACTCTGTGTCCTTTAGTGAACCCGAAACCCACAGGGACAAGATGGAGGGCCTGTAACAAGATGGCATTACTTGTGCTAAGTCTCACCTGGGTCTTACACTCTCAAGTCAAACATTAACTCCTAATGAGAGACAAGCAGCAATACGAGCTGCTATTACATTTGGAGATAAATATCATATTGTTAATTTTAGAACGCAAGCAGACAGGCAACCAGGGGAACAGCCGGTTTCTCCTGGAGCCCAAGAAATCAGGTGGGAGATTGGAATAAGAGACACATTCAGGTGTGCATTCTTGAAGGTGTAAGAAGGACAAGCATTAAGCCCTTCAATTATTTTAAATTGTCAACTATTCACTAGGAGAAAGATAAGAACCTCACTGCCTTCTTAGATCATTTACAAGAGGCATTGATAAAACATACATTGTTGGCTCTTGATTCAACAGGAGGATAGGTTTTTCTTAAAGAAAAGTTTATCACCCAGTCAGCTTCAGGCTATTTAGAAAAAGATGGGTTTTGGTACAGATAGCATACTTGATACTTTAGTGAGAATTGTGTCCTCAATATTTTATAATCGAGACCAAGAGGAGACCAAGAGAAGAAAACAAAGAGACCAAAAGAAAAGCAGGTGCCTTAACTGCAGCCTTAAAAGGAATGACTATATGTCTGATTCTTGGGGCTCCAAGATGAGCTCAATGACTAAACTTACCTGCTATGCTGCAGAAAGCCGGCTACCTTAGAAGGGACTGTGGTAAGAACTGTCACAATAAGAGGCCTCCTGAACCACAGTCTGATTGCAAAGGTGACCCTGAAAGTCAAGCTGCCCCTTGAGGTAGAGGCCCCAGGGATCAGACCCATCTTACCAGCTGATCCAGCAAAACTAAAGGGCCCAGAGCACTCTCTGCCTTCTCCTTCTGGCCAGACTGTCATCTCCACGGAGGAGCCCTGGGTAATCATGACTATTAAGAAAACAAAAACAGTCTATTGCTGGCCACTGGTATGTGTTTCTCAGTCCTTCTTCTCAACCCTGGCCTTCCTCCCACTCATCATACTTCAGTAAAAGGGGTCACTAGAGAAGAGGTAACTAGCTATTTCTCAGAACCCTGAGGCTGTAACTGGAATGGCTTTCTCTTTACTCATTCCTTTTTAATTATGGCTAAAAGTCCCCTCCTGGGGAGAGATATTTTATTTTGCTTGAATACTGTAATATATATCCACCCAGGTCAGGTACACTGCCTCCCCTTCATGGAGACTGAAATAAATACTAAAATATTGGCAACTAATGGTAGAATAGGTAGAGCAGTAAGAGCTCTCCTGCTGAAATACATCTCAAAGATCCTACTATTTTTCCTCACTGGAGACAATACCCTCAATGGCTGAAGTTAAAAGAGGACTATTGCCTATAATCAACAACTTAGGGGCACAAAGTCTATTTATACAGTGTAATGGCCCTTGCAATACTCCAGTCTTGGGATTTCAAAAACCCAATGGAGAGTCAAGGTTGGTACAGGACCTTACATTGGTAAATGAAGCAGTAGTGACAGTCCACCCAGTGGCACCTAACCCCTTCACTCTCCTTTCTCAGATTCCAGAATATGCTCATTGGTTTTCAGTGTCAGATTTAAAAGAGTCCTTCTTTTGTATTCCTTTACATACAGATTCCCAGTTTCTTTTTGCCTTTGAAAATCCTCATGACCATGCCTTCCAACTGACTTGGACTGTGCTTCCTCACAGTTCAGAGACAGTCCTCATCTTTTTGGACAAGTGCTTTCCCATGACTTAGCATATTTCACATTTTTCCCAAGTCACAGTCCTGCAATATGTAGATGATATACTGTTATGTGCTCCCTCAGAAGAACTCTCTAGCCAAGGCAGTCATGCTTTGTTGAATTTTCTGACAGAGGTCTCTAGATCTAAGGCACAACTTTACAGCCTTGAGTTAAAATACTTGGACCTTATCATATCTAAGGGAACCTGAAGGCTGGGGGGAGAGAGAATTAAACCAATACAGCCCAAGACTATTAAACAGCTAAGGGGATTCCTAGGAATTACAGGGTTAGGTTTTTTGGCCTTTGGATAGCAGGACACAGTGAGATTGCATGACCCCTCTATTAACTTGTAAAGGGAGCCTGAAAAGAATATACCCATATTTTAACCTTGAAAGCTGATTCCCAAACTGCATTCCAGAAGCTTAAACAAGTGCTTCCAAATGCTCCAGCACTGAGCCTACTGAGAAGACACCATTTCAATCTATATGTTGATAAAAGGCAGGGTATGGCTTTGGGAATGCTTATTCAAGATAGAGAACCTGATCAACAACCTATAGGGCATCTAAGTCATGAATTAGACATTGTAGAAAAGGGATAGCCTGTGTCCCATAGAGCTGTGGCTGCCATAGCTCTCCTGGTACGAGAGGCATCCAAGCTGACTTTAAGCAAAGATCTCACTGTATATATACATCACAATGTGGCAAGATTTCTTTCTTTCAAAGGGAGCCTGTGGCTATCAGACAACTCACTTCCTAAATACCAGGCTTTACTTCTAGAAGGACCAGCCATTCAAATAAAGACATGTTTCTCCTTAAACCCTACCACATTTCTA